TTCAGTCCGGATCCCCCCCCCCCTTCGTCAACCCCTGGCCCAGACACGCAGTGATTCGTGATAGATGCATACTATCAAAGTGGGTGAACATCAAAATATGTCCTTCTGTCCAAGAAATCACACGTGCGTGCAACTAATCTCATTGGTGTAAGACATTTTTGGTCAATCTTTGTACCTCTCACTCTTGGCTACTCATTTTTTTTTAAGCATGTCGCTACCGCAAGTTGCTCATATTGCTATAAATCTCCTCGGTAGACGCATCAGCACTTGCACGTGCTTGAAAAGTTTTTCATAGACACTAACGAGAGGAGATAGGCCTATAAGATTTTATGTAATTATAAACTCTGCTTCACATGGCAAAGGTTTTTTTTGTAAACACCGAGAACTTATCAATTAAGTAATTTATTGAAACCTCATCAATCAAATTATTTTTAAATAATAATATATAAGTAATGGATGACCTTACTTGCCGTATTTGTGAGCTAGATCCCTAACAAGTGGTAGCAGAGTAGCAGTATAATAACTAAATACCATTTAGTATACAACTTGAAAAATAGTATAATTGAATAAGAGCAACTTGTGAAGACCGAGCACAAAATATTGAGCACATAAAAAATATATTTTTGTAGCACTATACATAAACAATTAAACACGTAACTATACATCGAAGATAAAATATATATATGGAAGTAATGTGGCAAAAATGTAGTGCCAACTTACAAAGGTACTAAATCAAGTTATTTATACATTTAATTAATGAAGAAAATAGTCGCACGCTAAAATCTCTCAACCCTATATTCTGCGCACTACGAGAGTATATTAATGAGCCTCACAAAACTTAGTAGCTTCTAAAATTGGTAAAAATAATTTTGCAAGTTCAACCTAATAAGCACGGAGAACTTTGTTAATTAAGAAGTTTCACGATTAGCTAAAAATACACATAATTGCAAGTAACTATTAACTGACGATGCTATTATCTGCATAAAAGTTGCTATAACATAAGATGCTTTAACGATTACAACAAAACAATGTAAAAGCATTCAATAGTCAATTCTTAAAAATGCCTTAAGGTTATGTGTTATAACTGCGACCGCCAAAACTACGATACTACAATCATAAAAACAGATACACTATAGAATCGCGACCGGACACATTACTCTATGGCGAAATTAAAAACCCATACATAGCCCACACCATTGCTGGTGGTAATTGACATAACGGATGCTGATGCTAACAAACTGAGCGACGGGCCTACACGCTGGCTCTGCTACGAGAGACTATTTGCCAAGAACCAGAGGATATGGAAAGTCAAGTTGCGACACACTGTTCCATGTTTACGGTCCTCGTGTGCGGCCTTTGGTTGCTTCCGAGACATCCAGCACCTAGCTTTTATCAATTGCGCGGTGAGGCGAGCATACCCTTGGAGGTATGACATGGAAGCTATTATAGAAGGCATGCAGGGCCAATAGGGCCAGATGGAGAATCAAAAGAGCCAAGATGAGAAAGTAAACACTCAGGGAATAGATGGATTCCCCCGGGGCAAGAAACGCAAACACAGATCTCAATCAGTCCATTGAAACGGAACACTCGACCCACAATCAGAGGAATCCACAACACGAAATGGTAGCTAACCGGGCTATCTACAGACAAACAAACTGAGGAAGCATCCTGAAATAATAGACATCCGGTGTCTAGAAAACCGTATATTCGTATCTACTAGAGTGCCACAAAATCAGGAGGTAGTTAAATTCGTGACAAGGATTACATACGAGGAGTACACCTATTGGTTATTAGGAAAGGTAGATTTATGAACATTGGATAAACACCCAGATAAAATATCAAATTAGAATAATCTTCATCGCCTTCCTCGACAACAATTATTGCACAGCACTAAAATCAAAATCAAAAATATACTATAGTAGAAACAAATCTAATTGCGCGAAATATGGGGTATTACATAAGTAATATAATTCCATTATTTAACAAGCACTAAACAGTTTAACTAACGATAGAAAGTTGATTGACTAGAGTGAACTCCACTATACTTATCACTAAAGGAGACTATCAAACATATGAGTGTGGCTAAATACATTTACACGAGTACTTCGTATGAAAATATTTTAAAATTACAGTGATGAGTGTCTTTCTGAGGTTGAAATTTAAGTGGTCAAAGTTGCAGGAGTCACATTGCATGCGCAATTTGTTATTGACACTTGTGAACTGAAATATGGCGCTGTTATACCGGCATATTTATCAATGTATGTGTTCATCGTTGACTCTATTTATCTTTGAATGATTGAGTACCTATCAAATTGTTTTTGATCTAATTTCTAGTAATGTGGGACATATCGAATAGACTTTTTTGAGTATATGTAGTTGTGTTTTCGTAACATAATTTGCGTGCAGTAAAATCCTGATGATCTTTCATTCAGTCGTCCCAGCAAATCATGATATTATTCCGAGAGTCATTCTAAATGTATAACCCCTTTCAAAATCAGCTGGATATCTTCAAATTACGTAATGCAAATTGGCGAGCACAAATGCACTCTCTATCGCAATAACACTCGACCCCTACAATGCTAAGAAGACCTACCCATTTTCCTAATCCTGTAACGTGTCGCTTGATAACTCCAATTAATAATTACAAAATGCTTCTGAACCCCATTGTAAATCGCAGAGAAGTGGAAAAATTAATTATTAGCAACAGTAAAAATTAGTTTCTCGGATATCATTTTTATTGTGTTTGTGTATTATAAAATTGTGATGAGAAATTAAAAGTAGTAATTAATATAGAGGGAATTGCTGACGTCTGCTTAAACAATTCAAGACTGGGGCAAGTTGTAGATTGAGAGGCTGCAATGTGAGAATATTTGTAATCACAAGCTGTGGCAAACGACCGTCGTAGATGAGGCGTGAGTCCTACTACCTAGAAAGAATGTTAGACCAATTTAAATGGATTCTAAGAATAACACTAAATTTAATCAGTTTAATACTTTCTTTGTTATCTTAGAGAATTGAAATCTCAAAAAGTTGGTGAAAAAACATTTCCACAAGTCTTACTGTTATTTGTTATACTCATAACTTTTAATTTCATTTATGTTTTTTAAAACGAATTTTAATGTTTTAAGGCTATAAGATTAAAAAAAAGTGTGAATTGAGTATTCACAATATGTGGAATTCTTCAAAAAAAAATCAATTGTTAACAAAACCAAGAGAGGATTAGTACACAATCCTCCGCGATATCCGACCTAAAGATAAATTATCCATGCCGTACGCATGGAGACTTCACAGTATGCCTCAAATTACAAAGCTGCCGTGATATGTATTGATGTAATTTGTTTATGGATTGATCCATAAATAGTAAATAATTGAGTTTAGTGAAGTCAGAGGTGGTGTGTGTCTCCAGGAACAAACAAACATAACTAATAAGAAAATGAACTAATGCGCAATTAGTAAAATTACTTTTCGGGCTATTGTAAATTTTGTTCAACCACAAGGTACTATCATACAATTTGTTTTCTTGTCTAACTTATTCCTTTTCAAACTTTCATTGTACAAAGAACTATAGCATATTTTTGAGTGAAGAGATCCTAATTATAGGTTCACATATCCTGTGTATATGTGGTAATGCGTGTTATGAACAAAATATGCGCGTGCTTCTAAGAGTAAAACCTACATTAGGAGAGGGAAAAATATTGAAGTCAGCTTTGTCATACTTATAGCATTTAATTCAGAGATTCAGGCTTAGTAACACACTCTTCCGACTTATCGCACCACCATAACTGACAATACCAAAAAACCTATCTATTGAGATCCCTCCTCTGCAGCTCGAGGACATTACCCATGCTTGGAAAGTGCGAGAACATCGAAGTCACATAATAAGTAACATCTTCAGTGTAAGCGCTATTGTAGAGATAGTTATGTATGTCTCAAGAGGCAAATACCGATGAATGGATGATAACCAGAGAAGGAAGACCATACAACGCCCTCAATTGAGAGATTTCTTATCACCCCAGAGCAGCCCCACACACCAAAGGGGCAATGAAACTTTGTTCGCGAAAAAGTTTTGTCGCGAGGTTCTGAAATATCTTATCAGTAAAAAGCTTGTGTGTAAATG